AAAAAAAAAAACAAAAAACACCCTGCAGGTAACCGGGTCCTGCGTCCCATCCAAAGACTCTTTCCAAAAGTAAAACTTGAAGCACCACTCAAAACAGGTAGAGCTATCAGGCAAAGGGCTAGCTAAAGGGCTAGCTCAAACTCTCATGGATTGTTTCTGAGTATCTGAGGGGGGGGCCCTCCCCCACTGCCTTAATCTGCAGACTCAGTAGTCAACCAGCAAAGGAGGTTCGAAACCAGAAGCTCTGACATTTACATTGAAGGTAAATCGTGTAGGGGAGGGGGGGGGCCCTCCCCAACGTCCTTCCTTTCGATTGTGGAGCTTGTTTGCTTTTTTTCTTTTGCTTTTCGTTCGGGCCCACAAGACCCAAACATTTTCTTCTGGCCGACCCTCAGCCGGGCCCCTGAAAAATGTAGTGTGACATATATTCCCATTTTCCCCAACACTGTGATGCCCTAAACACACGTTGTTCAGTAATCACTGTGAGGCGCCTGTGAACCAGCAGGCAAGTTGGCCCGCAAGAGTGAGCAGGTCTGGTAGCGGTGGTGGGGCTACGTGTGTTCGACGGAGTGTGCGTGATTTGTCAAGTCCGTGGTGTGGTGTGCGTTGGGTGTGTGGTGTCGAGTTCAAGGACGCTGCAGCCCTGGAGGTGGGCTGGATATCACGACCGGTATGGATCCAGTTTTTATAACACCTCCAAGGGTTGTAGTGGTTACGATACTTCGTTCCTGTGACGGAGGGTGCCGGTTCGAGGCCGTCCGTGCACGGCAGGGTGTGATGCCCCAAACACACGTTCAGTAATCACTGGGAAAGGTGGTGGTGGTTCAAGAACAGAAGAAAAAAAAAAAAAGTAAGATAAGGCCAACAAATAAAAAAGGTGCGTATATACTATATTTCATCGTCCTGGCTGACCATACATTTGTTGAGTAGTGCAGTGAGCCTCATTAACACTACTACGCCATTCCCTCAGCTTAGCGTGCGGCACCTTGGTGATTCGGGAGTTGGCCTACAGCGACAAGAGGTTGGCCGCTGTGCACACATGGTTTGGTTAATGGGGTTAACAACGTTAAACAGTGAAAGCATGATTTCTGGGGCCAAAGCTTCTGTCGGTCTGTGGTGAATTCTCAGATCCAGGGTACTGTTCCTGTGCACTAAAGAAAAGCAATATTATCGGGGCTCATTCCGTTGTCGTCTTTATGCTGTTGTCCCATTGTGTCTCAGGGAGACACCTATGAAGAGTTGCATCTCAGAGCCCGGTGCGAATGTTACAGAAACTCCCAAGTGGCCCCAGCGATTAACGGTACCGCCCGTTCGGCTTAATGAGATCGCGGGATTGAGTCCGCAGGCGTTTGAGAGGCATAACGCAATGTGGAGAGAGCGGTTTGCATACTACAAGAAGGTTGCTCTCGGGGAGCTGAAGGAAAGGAAGAGAAAGATCAGGAACGTCATGGACATGAATGCTGGCTATGGAGGCCTTGCAGCAGCTTTAGCTCTCGATGAGGAAGCAGTATGGGTCATGAATGTTGTGCCGTCACACATCGTCAACACCTTGCCCATCATCTATGACCGAGGATTGATTGGAACTTACATGAACTGGTAAGATCCTGGTTGATTTGGAGGTGCTATTTTTGTGTTTACAGTAACCCTGACCTAGTTTGTCGAAACATTCGCACTTTCTAAGCTTCAAAATGGCATCATATAGGCGTCGCATTTGCGTTGCATCCTCTTCTCTTATCTGCCTCTTTTGTTCTCTGCCCGTTTTATCAGATGGGTGGCCTGTTTGCATATCATCTTGACTGCATGTGGGCGGCTGCATGGGACTGGATGGGGGGCTATTCATGATATAAGAGATCTGGGCCTTGACGCCTTGTATCGTTTTCCACGCCGAGTTTGAGAGAGTGTTTTTGCAGACCATAAGGAAGTAGTAAGAAGCAGTTTGAGCAAGGTAATCGGCAGAAACATGAAAGAAATAGGGGAAAAGAAAATGGAACTAAAAACAAAGAATTTGAGTGCCCCGGTGATGGAAGCCAGTGATGATAGCTTTGCTGCATCGGATAGAACTGGTTGCAGAACGTGCTGGGTAGGTACGACTTCAGCAGCATCGTACAATGAGAAAAAGTACTGTTCGGACACCATGGTCAGATCCTCCTATGCACCCTGCGGTAACTGGCTGCTCTCCGTAAACGGGGAAAAATATACATTTTTTTATTTTTATTTATTACAGAAAACGCCCCCTACAGTGTTAGTGGTGCTGATAAGAGCAGACACCACTACCACCCGGGAAACGGCTCCATCTATTGGTGGGGAGCATCACCTGCTGGAAAACGGGTCCAGAGTCCCCTTTACATCAGATCAATCATGCAGAGAGTTCCTGCCAGCAGTGAAATGCAGAAAGAGAATTGTGGAAAGACCTGGCCTACATAACAAGGCAACCAACGTCCGCCTGGTGTGGTCGTGGCGAGGAGCCGTGGGTTCAATAGGAAAAAAATAACTGGGCTGCTCAGTACTGTGTGGCCTGTGAAATGATCCCACTGAGCCTTGCCATCCCAGATAACTGAGATTTGTGTATCTCCATTACTTATTGGAATTGCATGCCCACATTGCCCCGAAATAATTTCCCGTTGACATGCACCAGACGAGGGTCAAAATGGGCTTGTATATCTCCATTTGTTTTTTTCAATTGCTTGCCGGCCTCGCCAAAATCATTGGCTCTGGACGTGCACCAAGATCGGAGTCAACTAGGGAAGGGATTCTCCTTTCCTGTTTCGTACATCCCAGAGGAGGTTCATAAGATGATTCCCCATGGTTTGCGTATTAACCTGAGAAAAAAGAGTGTGAGTCTCTTCCATGCATGCCCACCGTGCATGTATTTGGCCATATTGTCTGTTTGGTGTGGGAGAATGACGAGTGAATGGTATGATGAAGGTGTGTGTCTCATCCTTTCCTCACATCCAACAAGCATGTGGATTCAGAGCCATGAACGCCTACTCGGTGTGTGTGTGTGTGTGTGTGTGTGTGTGTGTGTGTGCGTGTGCGTGTGTGTGCGTGTGTGCGTGTGTGTGTGTGTACGTATGTGTGTATGNNNCTGGTGGTGGTAAGAGAACCACCGGGATTGAGGCTTGCCTGGCGGGCCGCTCCATCTATTGGTGGGGAGCAACACCTGCTGGAAACCGGGTCCAGTGTCCCTTAAATACATCTTTATAAGCAGTACATTTTAAAAGTGACGCCTTTGCGCTGGAAACCGGGTCCAGTGTCCCTTAAATACATCTTTATAAGCAGTACATTTTAAAAGTGACGCCTTTGCGCTGGAAACTGGGTCCAGCCTCCCATCCAATCCACTCTATCATAACTATCTTGCAGCAGGCTCAGATATTGGGGGGGAACCACTGGGGGGCACCATTGGAGCCTCCTCCAACCAACCAGCCCCTGCCATCCACCTACTCTCCTTCTGGCGCCTCTTTATATTTGAAACTATCAGAAAAAGCTGGGATAGGCAGTACATTGCCAGTGCCGGAAACCGGGTCCAGCGTCCCATATTTGTGCTGTTCATCCAACCAATCTGGCGCCTCTTATATTTGGAACTATCAGAGCAGGCTGAGACAGACAGTACATTGCCAATGCTGGAAACCGGGTCCAGCGTCTCATATCAGTGCTTTTCATCCATCCAATCCTGCAGTGTATCCGTCTGCTGCGGTCCCTCTGCTGACCATTAGACTGAACTTGTAACAGAAAAAGCTGAAACAGACAGTACATTGCCAATGCTGGAAACCGGGTCCAGCGTCCCATATCGGTGCTGCTCATCCAACCAATCCTGCAGTGTATCCATCTGCTGCTGTCYCTCTACTAACCATTAGACTGGACTTGTATTGGAAGGGACAGAATAGACAAAGGTGAACAGAGATGAACAGGGATAAACAGGGATAGACTAACAGAGAAGGAACAGAAGGAGGCAGAGGTCGGAAGAGAACAGAAGGGAGCAGGAGTAGGGGACCACAGAAGAAGACCGAAAAAATCAGAGCGAAGGTAACTGAGCCGGACCGGTTTCATCGGACTGGGTTACTGTGATCATGGGGGGAGAACCTCTTCCAGTGCCAGTGGGTGGGGTTGGAAGGGGTCTGCAAATTCTTGAGCCGGACGTAACCTCTCGCCAGGATCGAGGTTTGTCCACTCATGGAAGATCAGCTGATAATCTCTTGCTATCTCCGTCCGGTGTCCTTCTTGCAGCTCTGCTCCCTGCTGGCAATTCTCAGACCATCTTACCTCCGTCACCCATCCTTTTCTTTCCCCTCCCAACCAATCCTGAGTGAATCGGGAGATGATCCTGTTGATATCAGACCAGGAATTCATTTGGTCAAGTTTGTCTCTGGCCGCCTTCCACTGGGCAGCAATTTCATGTTGGACTGATAGGCGTAACTGTTCTGGGACTTCTCCTTATTCAACTCGTGCCCCTTCGATTTCCAAAATGCAACGTTTCCACCAGATGACCCACAGGACCGCCTGCCTGCCCAAATGAAACATGATCTCCTCGAATGTGTCTCCCCGAACAGGGGGGTAATGACCTAGTAATATAGCCCTCCACTCCCATGGCCATTCTGCACCGGGGACAATGTGTCGCCAGATCGTGTATAAGAGACAGGAGAGAGAGAGAGAGAGAGAGAGAGAGAGAGAGAGAGAGAGAGAGAGAGGTGCCCAGTCACGTACGCACACCTGCAAGATATATGTTTCGCTGTTGCAGTTCTTTGAAAACTGAGCTACTTCTTCGGGCATGATATGACCGTGTTGACAATTCCATTGCAGGTGTGAGGCGTTTTCAACATATCCGCGGACATATGATCTCGTGCATGCAGCAGGGCTTTTTGGATTATACAGTGGAAGGTATGTAGTTGAAGCAACTTTTGAGTCCAGGTTGTGGCCACCCATACGACTCAGTTGAGTGGACATGTGACTGTGTTCATGATAGTGAATTTTATCAAATGGGCGGGCAGTTGACAGCGAGAGTTCAGCCAATTGATTGGTACATTGATTGGTTGAATGAGTGTTGCACCTAGTCGGTTATCTGGTCAGTGTAGGTAGTCAGACAGTCAGTTGGCGAATCGGGCAGGTAACCAGATCCTCCTTCAATTCATGGCACTGCTAACCAGTCAGTTAATGAATGACTAAAATAAAATGATTGATGTTGTTGTAAAAACAAAAAGACATTTATTGAGAAGCCACTCTGTTGTTGAGGATGTTCCTTCGGCCAGACGGAAGGAAGCGTGGAGGTGTCATTTATTGTAATGTTTTCCTGACTTGCCGGTGGAATAGGAACCGGACTGAAGCTCCCCAGAATGGAAATGGAGCCAGGGCCATAAGGACCTGTTTTATTAAAAAAAAAAAAAAAAAAAAAAAAAAACCTCTGTTGTTGACGATGAATCAGAGTTGAACCATGGATATGTCCATAGATTGACCCACCGATTCGCTTCTTGCTTGATCGATTGATTGATTGGTTTACTCACCTGCGGAACGATTGACCGAGAGATGGATGCATGCACCGACGTATGGATGGATGGAAGAATGGATGATTTGGTCGGGAGGATGGATGAATGGATGGATGATTTGTTTGTTTGGACAGAAGACAGACAGAGGGATATATGGATGGATGGGTGGATGAAAGACTTGTCTGTATTGGCTTGGCTTGGCTGGCTTGGCTTGGCTTGAATTGGATTGTCGCTTAGGCTATCATCCGGGTCGTCCAGGTCACCCTGTTTTACTGGGCGGCCCGGCCGCGCAAGGACCGATCAAGGTCCCAGCCAAAAAAAAAAAAAAAAAAAAAAACGAAAAATTTCAAAAAAAAGGCTATGTTATGCAGGAAAATAAACTGAACAACTTTTGGCTTAGGGTCACATTGAAATTCTTTACCAAATTTAAAATAAAAAATGAACTTAGAAAATAATAGTTTTGTTTTTGTTTGAATATTTGAATTATGTTTCTCTATTTTTTTTTGTCCTGGCCGGGCAAGCGTTCCCAGGTCACTCTGGTATATAGCCTAAGATTGTCGCATCGTGTCTCCACGGATGATAGGATTGGATTGTGGCTGCACTGGATGATGAAGAACTTTGGACTGATTTTGGATGATGTTTTGATTGACTGGATTGACTGGATGTCTTGATTAACGTATCTATGGGTTGGCATATGTGCTTGCTGTGTTCTTGCAGATGTGACATCATAGATATCCTGTTAGAGATGGATCGTGTCCTTCGGCCTGAAGGTTTGGTGATTATACGTGACGAGCAGCGGATTGTCGGCACGGTCTCCAAGATCGCCCGGGGTCTGAGATGGGACGTAGCCATGGTGGACGCAGAACGAGGCTCCACAGAGAAGATCCTTGTTTGCCACAAGAAATACTGGGTGTCCTCGTAGGAGCAACCTCAAGGCCTGAGCAGATGCAAGTGGTTGACCCCCTTGCTTGTGTACTCTGCCCCCTTGCTTGTGCATATCACAAATTTTTCCTTTTTTTTTCCAGTTGTTTTTTCTTTTTGATTTTCGTTTTTGCGTTCTTCTCTCCTCCCCCCCCTCCCCCCACTTTCGCTTCCTTATGGTCTTGATGAAGTGATTGTTTATCCTGGTTTCTCCACTGATTGCAGGATAACCATATACTTCTTCGATGATTCTGGATGTTGTTCGATTTCAGGTCTAGATCCCTTGATCGCGGCAATAAATTTGCAAGATGTTGCTGAAATAAGCAATATATATATATATGTATTCAGCCCACATGGCATGGGATCGTCCTCAAGATTTTTCTGATGTGGCTCTTAAGAAGTCTGCCATGTAGATTTCTTCCCTGATCTATCTGTGGGAGCGCGGCGATTAATTGGTAGAGGATTTCGGGGCCCAAGAATTTGCAGTTTGGTAGAGGATTTTGGTTCGGGGCTCAACAATTTGCAGTGTTTGGTCCCGCAAGGATTATGCACTTTAATAAACGGATTCTTTTTTTGACTGCTAGTGAGAGAAAGGCAGCAGATGACGGCTTGATTTGAGAAAATTTCACATCTGAATTTCCTGAAAGGAAGCTTGTTTTGTCTGATTTTTGGCAGGATTCTGTTTGGACCCAGTATGTATTTTCTCGTTGGTGCTTTTCTGACTTTGAACCATCCGCCTCATGTCTCGTTACTTCATTCACGGTGTACTTTCTCTATGCGTTAAATTGCGTGTTTCATCCCCCTCTTCTCTGGGTGTGTTAGCCTTACCTGTGGAGCTGATCCTCCCAGTCCTCACCAGTGTGTCTTCTCGCTTTTCCAATCTCGCTTTCTCCTTTGTCTTCTTGCTTATGTTTAAACCATTAATGGTGCTTATCACAGGGCCTCCAATTTCTCTGACTGTCCATTGCATGGTTGACTGTGAGTCAATTGCTTATCTGGGGCTGACTGTGAGTCAATTGCTTATCTGGGGCTGACTGTGAATCAATTGCTTATCTGGGGCTGACTGTGAATCACAGTTCCAACGTGCACGCACAGATGCAAAAGAGAGTGAATGTGACCAACAGTGACATCCTTGGACAGACTTCAACAGCTTTTGACAGACTTTTGACTGTGACTGACTACAACTGCGACTAACAGTGACTAACTGCAACTAACTGTGACTAACTGTGGCTGACTGATGTGACTGACTGTGGCTGACTGATGTGACTGACTGTGACAGATTGTGACAGACTGTGACTAACCGTAGCTGCGACTGACTGACAGACAGTGACAGACAGTGACAGACAGCGAGTAAGTGTGGCTGACTGTGACAGACTGTAACTGTGGCTGATATTGTGAAAGACTGTGACCAACCGTAGCTGTGACAGACTGACAGACAGTGACAGAGTGACAGACTGTGGCAGAACGTAGCTGTGGATGATTGTGGTTGGCTGTGACTGACTTTGACAGACCGTGACTAACTGTGGATCATACTGTGGTGGATAGAGTAGCCCTCGACTTGCAGTGTCTGTATTTGGCCTTCTTCGAAGGTGGGGATGATGTCAAGTCCGTGTGGCCCTGCGGTCGTGGTCATATGACTTCAGACTCTTGTTGTTCTACTGGTGAGTGCCCGTTTGTTTGTTTGTTTGTTTGTTTTTCAATTTCCCCCTCTCCCCTTCTGTTTATCTTCTCTCGTGTCCATGTCATCCTCCGGAGCTGCCCAGTAAACCGTAGGCAGAGAGAGAGAAGAGGACAACAATCGAGGGGATGTGACAAACTGTTCCGTGGAAGAGGACAACGAACGAGGGGCTGTGACAAAATCCGATCGATGCTGCTTTCTTTTACATATGTATTGTATGGTCGGTCTTGTGAAGTTGAAACTCTTGCAGTGGGTAGAACGCAAAGGAAAGAAAACTTATGCTTCGTGAGGTTCAAACTGGGATGAAGGGCGGTACTCTGGGCACTTTGGAGAAGACGCTGCACATACGAGATGGAAGGAGCGAGACTAGGACCTGAATTTACAGAAAGTGTACAATAGCAGATCCAAATGGAAATAACTGCAAAGTGGGAAGACGTCAGAACACAGATCCACTCCCTAAAGACACAAAAAGACATCAAACAAAGAATCCAGGAATTTTCCTCAAGCTGGCGTGGGGGTACAAACGGAGGAAGGATAGGGAAGGTGGATTGGAAAGGGGAACAACAGGAATACGGGGAGGGCCAAGGGAGAATGGAAATAGTAAGGGACTACCGACTGATATTCCATGAATGGACGAGAATTGATACAGCCATACCCTTGGAGCCCCCTGAAGAATTTCACGACTTCTTCCTCCCCCCATCGAATTGCCTAGTAGGAATGCAGTGGTACGGGACAGATGGATGATCATAGGAGAGAGAAGGGTGGGAGACTAGGATTCAGGGCTTAGATCCACAATATGTTGCTACTGAAGGGAGAAAAGGGGCCAGGTAGTAAGGTAGGTCAGGTGCCCAGCAGCAGGGTGAAGAGGCCTCCTTGTGTTAAAATCCCTCTCATGATCGTCTATTTACCTGCTCAGTTAATCCCCTGGCTTCAGAGTAATCAATGCTGGCAGGCAGTTACTGGAAAAGGACAATGTTCAGGGACGCTGGACCCGGTTTCCAGCAGGTGTGGCTTCTCACCAATAGATGGAGCCTCCCGGAAATGCTAGGGTTGTCTGCTCTTATCAGCGCCCCCAGCATACCCTCGGCTTTAAAAAAAAAAAAAAAAAGTAAGCTAGAGCAATCAATGAATTCAATCCCAATGGGCCATCGCCAATTTTCAATTCCCATTAGCTAAGGGTTCAGTCTAAATAAGAGCTGGTATGGTTGGCTTTGGCCGGCAGCGTATTATCTTGTTTACTTACCCCCTCTCTAGACTCAATTATATCCGGAGAGAGAAAGAAGAAAGTCCATCTCTCATTTCTCAATTTTCATCGGAGTTTTGCAGACTCATCAGGAGGCTGAACCCTCAACAGTCTGCAGAATCCCCTAACTGATTACACTAAGTGATAACCCATCTTAACCCCGGTTGTGGTTAAGCATCAACGACTGCCCGACAACTGATACCCTGAGGTGGGCACCAACCACTGCCTTCGAACTACCTGAGACTTAAATGAAAGCAGACTATCAGTCACCCACACCAGTAGGTGCACGTGCGCCATGCACCATGTGCAAATTGGTGATGCGCTGAATTATTTATTTTCATTATTTTATTTTTTTTAGGGATGTGTGTACACACACACACACACACACACACACACACACACACACAGAGAGAGAGAGAGAGAGAGAGAGAGAGAGAGAGAGAGAGAGAGAGAGAGAGAGAGAGAGAGAGAACAAAGGATATCAGAGGGCCCATGCCGGTAATCTGAAGGGTCCTCGCAGCAATTTAGCAAGGACCCTGCACCAAAATAGAGGCAGGCAGTGAATACAAAGTGGAGCAGGAGCTGGCTGAATATATACTCAGGGTTCATATTCACGTCTGTGTTTCAGCAGTTACGGTTTGCTCACTTCGCTAGGCCCTGTCGGTCTCTGCACATGATTCTCAGGACTTGGCTGCAGTACTAACCAAATCTGCAGAATTAGAATGAATCTTGGAATAGTACGCCGCCATATGTTTTGTCTTTTGTGCATGTGGTGAGTAGAGGCCCTTAGGGCCACTGCAAATGTGCAGAATTAGAGTGAATCTTTTGCTAGAACATGGAATAATATGCCACCATATGTTTTGTCTTTTATAGTGAGTAGAGGCCCGTAGGGCCACTGCACGTTCTTTTTTTTTTTTTTTTTTTTTTTCCTTATAAAGTCCATGGTGTGGTAGAGGCCAGTCACTGAGTACATAGTGATCACCTGGAGCAGTAGGCCGTGGGTGTCCTGGAATATGAGACCACCTCACATCCCATCCTCATGTCAATACTCCTAGCGCACCCCCTATCCCACTATCCTACCTCAGTGTGACCAGCACTCAGGACCATTACCCTACCAATGGGCAAGTAACTTAGACCGAACAGCAGTGATAGGCACCAGGGCTGATAGGTTGCCCAGCCCTGCTGGAAGCGGAATGGGACGAGCCTTGTCGAACGGGAACTTCGGACGCCAGGCCCAGACAATCTACTGCAGGCCCCAAGAGACTCCGGGGCTTAGGTTTCAGACAGGGTAGCACCCATTGAAGCAGTCTTACCGTCCTTCCCCTCGCCTACCCAAGGCCAGGCGGAACTCGGACTGGCCTGAGCGACTTACACCCCTACCCTTACCCCAGGGTCTAAGCCTTGTATATAGTCACTAGACAGTTCTACCCGAATATCAGTAGGAACTCTGGTGGCCCATACCTGTCCCTACCACAGATACTAGACCCCACCCAGTAACTAGACCCCCCCAGTCTGATAGTTGTGTAGTTCGCAATGTATGTGTCTACCCGAAGGCTGTGTATGCTTCGCGTGTATCTGTCTATGGAGATGTACAGACAGCACTATGTGTGGAACTTGTGTATGTAGCCCGTGGGCCACGTATAATTCCCAAGCTATGTATGTGCCTGAAGGCTGTGTGTGCTCTGTGAATCAATGTATAGAGATGTATAGGCAGCATCATGTGTGTATATCGAAGAGAGAACGGGGTAAGCTGAACAAGGATCCCCCCAAGATCCGAACCAAGCTCGAACCCGTGACCTTGAAAAATGTAATTGTATGACTCTACCATGTGAACGGCTAGTGGAAATGGCACGAATGTGTGATATGCCAGACTGGGGAGATCAACAGAACACCCAAGACCAACACCCCCAAGCAACCCATGTGAAACCCAGAACCAACCAACATACAACACCCTGAACAACCCTTGGGTGGTGCGCAGACAGTGTCTGTAATAGTACCATGCGTCAGCCCAAGGGAGTGTCCAGCCGTGCGTCAATCTAATGCCCTGCCGGTGTCCATGCGCAAGGTTGCAAATTGAGTTTTGAACCCGCAACCTCGTACCACAATGCGCATTTCCAACCGGTGCTCTAACCACTGTCTTATTAGAATATGTCTATTTTATTGATTAATGGAGATTTTTGGATTTATTTCATTGTATTAATTTGTATATTCTATTTTTTATGCACATATTCTTAAGAAAAGAAAAACGAGAAAACGGAAGAAAAATGAGAAAACAAAGAATTAGCGACCCATAACTGTGATGCACAGACCTCAATTCGAATCCAGACTATATATTCTCGGCCCATGCAGACAAATCAGAAGTCTGATGTTCATCTCTGCTGCGTGAGGGGTCCTTGCTAATTCGTAGGGCCCCTTCGGAAATGAGACTGGACACAATTAGGGCATGGACGCCCACACGTACACAGATGTGCCCACAGTGTTGGGGTCTGGGGTGGCCCCGACGTTTTTCCCTCTTGTAGTTTGATTTTCGGAAGTGAGGGGCAAGTTTAGACACCCCATCCTGTCCTTTCAATTATTATTATTTTTTTTTGGTGATGCCCTGCATCAGGTGCGCTCTGCGCTGCATGTGCCGTGACCTCGTCACAAGCAAGTGTATATATATATATATATATATATATAGGGTTGCCGGCGTTCGGGATGGGCCGAACGTCCGAACCCGAACGCCCGAACGTACGGGACCCCTTCGGAAGGCATTCGGCCGTTCGGGCTGAACGCGGACCAAAAAAAAAAAAAAAAAAAAAAATTTATGGAGAAAAAATGTTATGGAGAAAAATAAACTAAACAACATTTGTCTGGGCACTACATTCAAATTCTTTACCAAATTTGAATTAAAAATCAAATAAAGAAAATAAACACTATGATAAAATTTCATAAAAATAAGAAAAACTAAAAAGAGAATTAAAATGAGTGAGTGTGCCAGCACCTTTTCGACACCGCCATCTTTGCCGATTTTTAATTATTTTTTAATGCCCTGAAAATTTATAGATATGTAGTTTACATAATCAATAACTCATTAAAATTGTTTCAAAAAATAGTAAATGTTTTTAGGCCCCGAAATAAAGTGAAAACAAAAAGTTA